TTTTTTTCCGCCAGTGTCCGGTTACTTTCTTGTCACCGCTGTACTTGGCAAGACCCTGGTCAGAACAATCATCACCTTTTTTTTGTTTTACTTAAATCTACATTATCTCTGCACCAAGTTAACGGAGCTTTTAGCGCATATTAGGAAAAGTTTTCTATCTCCTGCCCTGTTCCCTGCCGAATCCCTACTGTTACTGGCAATATCGTGTGCACTAGTAAGCAGAACCTCTCTATTTTTTGTCGCCCCTGCCCCTCCTGCCCCACCCTGTAGGCCTTCATCCGAATTTAGTTCCGGTAATCATGGGTGCAGGAACCTCCCCAGGGTCGGGTCGGGTCGTCGCGGTAGCCTCCCCAGCATTGGCTCGGGTCGCCGCGGTAGCCTCCCCAGCGTCAGGTCGGGTTCGTCTTCCTCCCACCCTGGCCCACCTGAAGCCATTGGACCACCCGCTCTGAATCTTCAGGAGAGTGGCCAACACAGCACATTCCGCCTCGGTATGGTGGTTCTCGTAAAGGGTAATGATGGGATCGTTACCATTGAGATTGGAAACGGTGTGGTAGATGTTGGCGATACAGGCAGTGGCGCCTTCGGGAGCAAGTTTGTAGGCTGCTACTTCGTCTTTGAGTGCCTCAACAAACGCTGGTGTCTTGGCAAGTTCATTGATACAATCCTGGATACCGAGCACATAGTGGCTTCTGATTCGCTTGGTAATTGTCGCATGACATGCGATAAGTTCTACAACTGAATGTTAGTGACAACTAAATAGATGGACCTTGGAAATTATTACCTAAAGCCCCACGAACGTTGAACTTGCATTCCAATTTCAGTTTTCTTTTTTTTTCATTTAACAGTAGCACCTGCATACCAGTTAGATATACGGTAGTGGAAAAAAAAAACCCCCCGGAGGTGAGGACTCAACAATAAGGCTGGCTATTTCAGCCGATTTTTCCCGAATCTCGTGCTGTTCTTCCTTAGAACGTTGACGCCACTCTGACTGACAATCCTGCAACCGAACAAAACAGTCGGTCTCACACTTTTCAGCTAACTCTTTGTACCGGTGGAACCACCTTGCTTCCATTTCCTGAAATTGTTGTACGGGAATGAGCCGGGTGGCTCCCTCACTGGCGGGAACGCCCGAAAGGGAGCCACTCTCATTCATTTGGTGAAATTGCTCCTGCGGGGGGATGAGCGGACTGGCATTCATCCCCGCGTCTGGTGCAGGAGTCTGCGCGTGGCCGGGGACACCTGGATGCTGTTCGGGGCGGTTGGCGGGGGGTGGGGGTTTGATAGAGGGGGGGGGGTGGTGGTACGATGTTGAGAGGAGGAGAGGAGTGGTTTAGATAACTAGAAAAAAGAAAACCTGTTTCGTGGGGGGTGGTGGTACGAGGTTTGGAAGGGTCGTTGTTGGGGGGAAGAGAGGAGTGGTCTAGAAAACCAGAAAAAGAAAACCTGTTTCGTGGGTCGGGAAGAAAACGCAGTCACACTGCTAGCCGTTTTCACAAGGATGTCTGGGCGCCAAGACGTGTGGCAAAGTATGGGCTGACTGCTGTCTTGGCGCCAAGGCATCAGAATACTTTGTGAAAACGGCTAGTTCAGTATGCCATTTGCTGCCAAGAGTTCGACGTTACAGTATCATACAGTCGCACCTCGTTGTAAGGAACCTCTTTGTATGATACGGGAAAATTTGTTATTCTGAAACCAGGTCTTGTGAGATCAAAGACCCCATACAAAATCTCTCATTATAATGAAATACATAGTGAAGAATACTGTACAGTCGCACCTCGTTGTAAGGAACCTCTTTGTACGGGAAAATTGGCTATTCTGAAACCAGGGCTTGTGAGATCAAAGACCCCATAAAAAATCTCTCGTTATAATGAAATACATAGTGAAGAATACTGTATAACAAATCTGTAAAGAAATTCTCGATCCCAACCCCCCTGTCCAAATACAAACTCATCTTGCTATAAGGGAAAAGAGGCTGACTAAAGGAGCAGGTTTCTATAAACCTGGCTGAATCTACCACTATTGTGATCGTACTGGGAGGGATAAAGGTTCAAGTCTTGAGAATCATCTGGATATGGATAGATACAAGGGCCTGGCTGCAAACCCTCAAAGCTGCCTTCCTCCTCATCTGCAGTTTCACTTCCTGCAGTTTCCTCCTCATCCAACCCGGGACCAGAAAATAACACTTCTTTCCCTTTACCTTTCTGGTCCACCTTCAGTTGTTCTCTCCCTTTTTCCTTCCCCTTAACAGACAAAGTTCTCGTATAGGCTGTTGCTGGGAGGTTGGTATCTCCGTATATCGTAGGGTGAGAGGGGAGCCATGTGAAGTAATGATCAATTTTGGTCTGCTTTTTAAGAGATTCCTGATAACTAAATATTCCTAGTATTAGTAAATCATAAAGGCAGAGGGAAAAGGAAAACTGCAAAACCTACAAACCGATTGTAGTAGCAAGGTAAGTAGTTTTCTCAACCATAGTGGATTGGGTAATCTTTCGTCCAGCTGGAGTAGGAAGAGTATCAATGGGGAGTGACTGGAGGTAGCGGGAAAGATGATAAAGGTATTCGATAGCTTCAGAATGTGTAAGAAGAGTAGAAGGAGAGACAGGATCACTGTCTTGATTCTCATCGCTATCACCCGCAGCATCAAGATAACTAACTTCCATATCATGAATTCCATATGTGAGTAAGCCTAAGTGGACTTGCTCCTCAACCAATTGACTGGCATCTGGAATGCCAATTTCAGAACAATCGATGGCAAGACCTTCAAGGTTATTATTATCACCCAAAAAATCGTCACAGATTTTTTGAAATTCAGTGGTATTCGAGTCTGGATAGAGTTTCCGGAGAGTGATTTGCATAGAAGCTGTTGTAGTCGAGAGAAAATTGTCTTTCCTGCTATTGCTACTGGGATCCTCAGTAGGGATATCTAACACCTCACTAAGGTTTGACCCATATGGGAGGAGGCCAGATTTCTTCCAACAATTAAAAATCATTGATGATGGTATAGACTCCCATGCATCTGCCATCATATATATGGATGCTAAAATATCTAGCTTTGGAGCAGAAATTCCATGGCAGTTAAAGTACTATACCATATAATCTGCATATTGACAGCGGTATGCTGCTTTAAACGAGGCAATTATTCCTTGATCAAGAGGTTGTAGTTTCGAGGTCGAGTTCGGTGGAAGATAGAGGAGTTTAAGGTGAGTAAGAGTAGGAGGTATCGCGCCTTTGTAATTATTAGGGGGTGAATTGGGGTGAGGATGGCTCGGACAATTGTCGGTAATAAGAATAATTTTTCTTCCCTGGCCTTGCATCTTGTTGTTTAAGTTCCGTAAGTACTCATACTATAAGCCACTTAACATTCAAGCTTTCTTGTTATATCGATAGGTGACAGGAAGGTTATGGGGATTGATTTTATGGCAACAAAATACGTGTGGGTTTCGGGCTCTAGCAATAATTGTTAATCTTTCCTTCTCACTTCCGTCTACATTTACTGAGTGGAATGTCGTGATCTGCAGTTTATCCAACTTGACTCCTGCTAGAACCTTTCCCAGTACCTTCCTAATATTTGAATAAGCAGGCTGCTTATTATACTGTAATCTACTTTCATCACAGTTCCAAATATCTTGTAGCCTATAAGTTGAGAGTTCTGCCTGGATTTCCTCCTGTGCATTTTGAATAATTTTTACATCAGTACTTCCAGCTTCTCCATATCTCCTCAACCTTCCTATCATCAATCGTGCTTTGAATTTCTGTAACCATCCAGGAGATAAAGCAAAGCCCGTATAGTCTTCCTCATAGCCTATTTCCATAAGCTTAGTTTGGATAACTGCAGCTTGGGCTTGGAGAACATCGTTGGTAATGGGAACATTCACAAATTCGGCCACATCAACCCACTTTGCTAGTAGGAACTCGAGAATGGGAAATAAGGCAACCCGCTCTTTCTTCATTTATCTCTTAGCTCCTGATTAATTACTCATTGTTAGTCATATCTATCAGTATCAGATCGGTTATTACCGTAGAGTATGATACTGAACATGCTCTCTGACCGGACTTGAAGGCTAAAAAAACCAATTTATATGGGAAAGCTACACATACCACTTGGCTTCCCTTTCTGAAGTTTTTCTTTCCAGCCTTTCAAATACTCTGACAGGCTTGACAGTGGAAGTGGACGGCCATCTTCTCGCCGAGGACACTCTGGCAATTCCGCAAATTTGATCAAGGTCATTTCTGGATGCTGTGATAGGAGGCGGATGCATAGGTGATACTTTTGAGATTGACTAAGACCTTTTCGAGCTTTTGGTGGCATTGGGGTTATTTTGCTTCGTTACTAGGAGGTTGATGGTTGACATTTCTTTCTTTGCACAAAACTGTAGAAGTGAAGCCCGCAAAATTTGAAATAAGTATTGTGTTTCTTGGATTGGGGGAGGAGGTTCTCAATTGTTTTTGGCTTCCCTTCATTTTTCACTTTCCCCGCTTTCCCTACCCATACTTGTTCTAGTATCTTTCTTCATCATACTTTGCTTACTAACACTCTCTGGCAATTTAAAACTATTCGCTGTAATGAAATCTCGTTATAACAAAAAGAAAAATCTGTACTCTTGGCTTTCATTATAACGAGGTGCGACTGTAGTTGCTTTGAAAATTCTTTAACGCTAGGGCGGATGCCTACCCTCGAAGGACCGGATCCCCCGCTAGAAGAAACGGGGTAGGCATAAACCCAGAATACTTTCGTGGAGCTCTGAACTACGGTAATGTTCAAGGTCGGACACCACACTGTGTCGCCAACGGCTCATGTTGGCGGTCCTCATCGCCCCCCATCTCATCACAACGTCCATACCTGAGTAAGGTATCTACCCCCTTCCGACGCGTACCAACTGTAGCGATATTGAGACATACTCTCCTGCACTTAAAACGCTTGAACCAGGAGGATCTCCAAGATCTGAGGATGTTTAGAGTGCGCCCCCCCCTCTGCCCCGCCTCCATAGCGATAAGATTGACACCTTGTGATGATCCATGACTTAGGATATAACCCGACAACCCATGGGGTGTACTCGGGTAGGGGCGAAAAAAATGGGAAAAAAAGATCAGCAAGGCTATCTAGCTGCTAACCGTGCCAAGGTTGTGGCTCTGCCACAACCCTCAATTGCTCGCAATTGAGGGCATGTCTACGACGTGCCCCACAGCTTAACATCAGAATTGGCTCAATGTCAGATTTCTACAATCAAACCCCCTACCACATACAAACCCACAACAACAAAGTTCAGAAATGGCTGAAAATTATTCCCAGATCAAGGCACGGATTGAAGAAGTATGTAGCAAGCTACATGAAATCAACAAACCAAACATCTCCGCAATTGCTCGTGAATTTCAAGTTCCAGAAAGCCGCCTCCGCGCATGGTGGAAAAGACGTCCAACATGAGAAGAAAGGCCTGCAGCAAACAGGAAGCTCAGTGAGGCCGAAGAGCTTGCAGTTTGCATGTATTTAAAGCGCTTGGACATGATTGGGATATCGGCTCGACTTCCAATAATTACCCGTTGTACGAATGATATCCTGAAACGAAATCATACCTGTAATGGAATACAGAATTATTGTCACAAACTGTGACTAAGCAAGGCAGATTTTACATAGCTCGGAATTTCGAGCTATAGGTATGTTGGGATTTCACATGACGCACATTAGTGCACCATAGGTTATTATGTTTACCTGTGCATGACTCACATTTTTGAGTCACATGATGTTATGATTTTCACACATGACTCATACTTATGAGTCATAGGTTTCACTCAGGTGATGCGAGTTGCGCACCTGAATTAGTTATTATGTTTTTGATTGGTTTTAGGTATATTGCACAGCGACTCATAGGAGTCGTCTGATGGATTTCGCGTGACTCATAGTCATAAGTCACAAGGTTCGCGTGACACATAGGTATGAGTCACGCCAGGTGAAGAGCTACTATATAAAGGGTTACTAGGACCCCTAGTATTAGCTCTTCACATGTTCTTCTTGTTTATTTCCTACCTTTAAGATTTTATCAATAAAACCTACCTTTACCCTCTTTAACCTTTATATCACCTTAAGCAAGAAAACTATTTCTCGTCCTACGAACCAAGCCCGAGTCCTAAAACGAGGACTTAAGAAGATTAAGAGGAATAGGCGCGATAAGATAGAAGTCAAAGGGACTGGACTATCGATATCACGTAGGCATAGGCCTAAGAACTATTACCTCGTTTCAAGTAAGAATTGTTACCTGTCGCATTACTCACCCGACCAGTAGGATTCTTAACATTAGAACGTGTCTACACTACGACACTTAACGATTACATAATGGATCTATTCAACAGAGACCATGAGGGAGACATAGACGTCCAAGACGACAGTCTAGGATTAGGAGGATTGGAAGAAGCATTAAGCGAAGCAAGTCGACACTCAGCAAGACAAACAAGCCCGGTTACACCCGAACAAGTTACCCCACCGAACGAAGAAGATCCACCTGAAATGCCGAAACCGGAAAGAATGTCAGGACCAGCACCACCCCCAGGCCTGCCTCCGGCAGGACCAGCACCACCTCAGATGATTCCACGAGATGAAGTGGAACAAATGATACGAGAAGCTATAAGAGGAACTGGGCAACAACCTAAAGTCAAGACTCCACCATGATATGATGGGGAAAGAAGCAAGCTATGAGGATTTATCCTCCAACTCTTAACCTATTTCGATGCAGTTGGATGAACACAGGGAAATGACCAAGACAAAATACGATACACTTTGACACTCCTAGAAGGACAAGCCCTGAAATGGATAACCCCCATCGTGGTCAGCAATGCGGCACCATGGACGGACTGGGCCAGCTTCAAGGACATATTCGAAGCCCAATTCACGGACCTAGAACTGAGCCAATCGGTAAGAACCAAATTGGAAGACATTCACCAAGGGGCAAAGAATGTCACGGATTACTGGTATGAGTTCCGACTACTCCAGTATGATGCGGCTTGCGACGAGGCCTCCGCCATGAGGTGGTTCAAGTTCATGAAAGGCTTGAGAGTAACCTATCAAGACGCCTGGAGATTCGGCGAAGAAAGATTTACTACAACAGAGGCAATGGCCCACTGGGCCATCCGAAAAGAAATTCAGTTCCGACAACTGGACTGGATTCAAAAGAACCAGCATAATACGATACAAGGCAACCATACGAATACAAGAAACTAAGGCGCACCTAGGAACCAGAATAGAACCTATAGAACCACCACCCAAGGAGGTGACGCAATGGACCTGGACGCAACAAGAAGGAGACCATCACTCAACCTTGCAAAAGATGAGTACCTGCGATGACGAAACAACAATCTATGCCTAAGATGTGGTATAAGTGGACATATGATCAAGGATTGCAGATGACCTGCCAACCCAGCTCCAATGCAAGGATGAAATCAGCAAAACATAAGGCCAAACACTAGGTTCCAACCATGCAGCAACCTAAGGGAGATAGAAATCGAGGACGATTATAAAACGACGGCAAAAGACGAAGGTCCCCAGCAATAGATGGTCTGCGGGACCCTCAGAAAGACAAACTCATCTCAATAGCCAACTACTACACTCTTTTAAGCGCAAATACGGGAGATAACAACAATGATCATATCATGATCAAAACGAAAATATATAACGACAAAAAACAAGAAACCACGATACACGCAATGCTCGACTCAGGAGCTACGGAAGACTTCATCGATGAAGAAGTCTGCAAGAGACATCAGCTAAAAACCAAGAAGGCAAAAAAGGAAAAACAGATTTACCTCATAGATGGAAAACCCAGTGCCTTGGGACCTATAACCCATACCGCGCAAGTACCTATGGAAATTGGAAACCATAGGGAAGTGGCTACCTTCCAAGTAGCAAATCTACAACACCATGAGATAATTCTCGGAATGCCATGGTTAAGACAACATAATCCTAGCCTAAATTGGGAAGAAGGAAAGGTTACGTTTACCAGCGAACGATGTACGACATGGTGTCTCAACAGTTCGCTGGTAATATATGCAACTCCAGAAGAAGAAGCAAATCAAAGGAACCTAGACGCCAAATTCAGTCAAGTTCAAACAAAGGATCAAAGGATCAAAGTTCAAAGATTAAGCCACGAGGCTAAGATACCTACAAGAGGATCGGAGAAGGCAGCAGGACATGACCTGTATGCCAACGAAGAAGTCACGATACCAGCCAGAGGGCAGGTAATCATCCCCACGAGAATAGCCATAGAGCTACCTCAAGGCACCTATGGGCGCATAGCACCACTCAGCGGTCTCGCAGTCAAACATCAACTCACTACCAATGCAGGAGTAATAGACGCCGACTACGCGGGTGAATTGAAAGCTGTCATGGTCAACTAATGGAACCAAGACCATAAGGTGGAAAAAGGCGACAAGATTGCACAGCTGATCATCGAAAAAATCAATGAACAAGAATTCCAAGAGGTGACGAACCTAAGACAGACCACCAGGGGAACCAAAGGGTTCGGAAGCACAGACAACCAAGGTCCAACCAAGAAGAAACAATCAAAGGTCGAAATCAATTGGATATCGGCAAAAGCGTTCAACAAGTTTTATCGCAGAGGAGATATGGCAGGAATTCTTAAGTGGGATACCCAAGAAGAAAAAATCAGCCTGGCCAAGCTCAACATCAGTACAGAGCTGGCCATAAGGAATCGGACTCAAGCAAAAGAAGAAAGATTGGATCAAATAATACCAAAAGAATATCACCAACACCTGGACTTATTCCAAGAAAAGGAATCCACCAAGTTACCACCTCACAGACCCGAGGTGGATCTAGTAATCGATCTAGAAGGAAGCACAGAGGGATTACCCAAGAAAATGATATACCCACTAGGAAAAACAGAACTCGAAGAACTGAGAAAATATATTCAGCAAAACCTTGAACGAGGATAGATCAAACAATCTTACGCCAACGGAGGATCACCCATCCTGTTCATCAAGAAAAAGGAAGGAAAGTTAAGACCATGCATCGACTACCGAGCCCTTAATGGCATAACCAAGAAGGACCGATACCCCCTACCTCTAATAGGTGGAGCCCTGGATCGACTAGCGTCAGCCAAATACTTCACCAAATTAGACATATGGGACGCCTACCACAACGTCAGGATAAGAAAAGGAGACGAATGGAAGACAACTTTCACTACAAAATATGGGAATTACCAATATCTCGTTATGCCCTTCGGG